GCGTTTTCGCATCCTTGGTAAGCGAGGGGAGGGCGCGAAAATGCTGCGCGCAGCCATTTCGGTTGTTCCGGCAGTGTTTTCGCGCCCTCCCCTCGCTTACCAAGGGCGCGAAAACGCTGCGCGCGGCCATTTTGGGGTCGCATGGCGACCATTTTGGACCAGCTGATCGGCAGGTCGCAAAGCGAAGGTCGGTAAGCGAACCGCTTACCGACCTTCACTCTGTGAATTGTGCCCTACCTAGGTGCTGTTTTGCGATCACTTTTGTGATTGCAAAAACGGCACCGTTGTGCGGATTCGTCGCTCTACAGAGCGACCGTTCTGCGAGGCAACATTGTACGTTCAAAAACAGGACCAACTGATCTTCAGTTCCTTCACAGACTAACCTCCACACTATTATTTCCACATTAGCAAGTAATGACTAGAGAGCAGACCACTCAAGATGGGTCATTCCAGTGAAGCAAATCAGATGCTGCAGAAGGAAGTGATTTGGCTTAAAGATTATGTGGACAGTTAGATTCTGAGCAATTGCAAAATTTCCCACCAGGTCATGCAGATAAAAATGTAATAGTATAGCTTGCTGGGAGGGGGGCCTCTGTGCTTTTTCTTCCTCAAAAATGGGAGACTGATTCTCACTCATTTGTTATTTGCCACTTGCATGAATTAACTTTGGCCGGCCCAGTGGTGAAGAACTGAGATCTTTGTATAGTTTCCCTTGAGGAGGCTTGGATGGCAGGAAGGAACCCCTTACAAAATGTATTTAATTTACCCCATTGTTAGCTGAAAATATTCTTGTGCCTTTCAAGCTAAGATATAAGATATACAAAGGTCTTGTCCCAGCCTCACAGTAGGATGGTATCTTGGAAGAAAAGAGAGATGATTGTTATTTCTTTTTTGTTCTTTTTTTTATAGAAGACTATTAAACCAGAAGATGCAGAATCTTCCCCAGATAGTAACTGTGGTTCCATTAGCCAACTAAAAGACTTTCCGCTTGAACCAGAGACTCCTGCTGTCGTGGAAGCTGCCGTGAGAGACACAGTTAAATCTTTAGAAACTCGGGAGCAAGAAAAAGCATTCAGGAATAAAGATCTGAAAGAAAATACAAAGGAGAGTGAACAGACATCTCAAGAAAATAGCAAACCGTTTCCCTTACCACAGTATCTCTACGTGGCGCCTGCAGCTGGTAAGGACCCCTTTGAGAACCGAGATAGTCTTGCTATCAAGCCAGTATGTATTTTAAAAGTACAGAAGTAATGCATTCAGAGACAGGTTTTTCAGTAAGGTGACTTCAGCTGAGGAAGTCCCACTGAATGCAGTTGATTTTATTTATGTACACGATTGCACTGGTCAGCATTATTTTAAAAAATCATGAGATAAAGACTGAACTAGATACAGTAGCAAGATACACCATAAAATTACTGTTCAGCTCTGGTCTTCCTTAAAGTTTTAAAAAAATTAACAGGGAGGGTTTGGGCACTGGGCCACAGAGACTCATCCTTTCTTTCCCATACTTATATACTGTCAATGCCATCACCCAAACTGCTGTATGCCTTGGTGGGGAAGCCATGCATATTCCAGCAGGAAAAGTATCAGGTTCAGGATCCTTTAAATTGTGAGGAAGAAAACCTAGCATCACAATCCAGATTCAGTCTGAAGCCCATCAGGTGATTTTGAGAGGATAAGGGGTTCTTTTCTCTCCCATTGTCTGTACTCCTGGGGCCATATGAAGAAGTCATGTGACTCACTGGAGCATTGAGTTTCCTTCCTAAGACTCAGCAGAAGCCTTCCAGTTTTCACACTTCCTGTGGAACAATGAATGCTGGAAACCTGCTTTCTTTTAAAATGGAGAGCTCAGATTCTTTGAATTCTACCGCAGATGAACATTATTGTTCTTTAATTGTAGCCATAGACTTTTCTGTTCCCTGGTCCAACTGGTAGTCAGATTTGGGAGTAAATACAGTCTCTAGGTGGTTTACTTGGTGTGTGATTGATTAATCGGTGCTTCTTCTTTTCATCTTACTTTTAAGCCTTCCTTCTTGAGAGAAAAGGGCCTATGTCATATCTTCTTGCTAACTGCAAATCTGCTTCTGTTCTTCTCTCACTTAGGTTTAAATGGTTTTAATTTCCTGTTCCCTGCCAGCCAGGCTCCTGGTCCTGTCAGCCTACCTGCGAGCCATTTGCCTTCACTTAATGTTCCCTATATGATGGTTCCTTCTACAGCGCTGGCACCGTTCCCTGTTATCTATTCCCCAGCAGTAACTACAAGCCAACTTTCTTCTGCTCCTCCTGGCTCCTTCCCAAATGTCACATGCATGAATTTGAGTATGTCTGGCCTGACATCGACAACACCTGTTTTCATTGGGACCCCAGCAGTTGTTACTCCAAATTCGTCACAGCTACCAACACTGGAACCACACCAGCAAATTCACTCAGCCGTACACCTGAGCCCTGTATTAGGAAGTGCTTGCAGCTCCGTGAAAGCAGACTCACCAGTTTGCATGGGCCACCCTGTTACTGTTCTGAAACTACAGCAGGTGAGATGCTAAAGATGAAGAGTAATAAGGGCATTGCAAAACACAGATGGAGAGGGGGTGCAAAAGGTCTCTGTTTAAAGAAGCAAGTGTTTCCTAGTTCTAAATTCTGTGGCACTTCTGGTAATTAAAGACCCTAAGATTATTGCTAATTTTATTAGTAATAATTTTATTTTGTTAACTTGTAAACAGAGGTGTTTATGAAATCATTCCACCAGGTGTTTACACATGAGACTATAAATGAATTAAATCATAAATCTTACACTTACCTGTGCACATTTCATCCCACTAAACCGTTCGACTTTAGATAGAAGTCCCAGGCTTTCCACAGCGCACATGCAGAATCCCCTCCAGTTGCTGCAAGAGGCACTTGCTCAACAACATCTCTCAACTTGTACATGCAATGGTGCTTCTCAGGGAGTGACAGGGCCGACTGTTCCCAGAAGCTAGATGGAGCCTCTCACTCTGCACTTTATAACTTGCATTTGCAGATTCCAGTTCGGGGGGGGGGGGGGGGGGGGGGCGTTTTGTTTGGGACA